CTCCTCAGTCTGTCTTTTCCACTAAGTTGAGAGCTACCAGAGACAACTGAATGTCATTCATCTTTGTGTCACCAATACTTAGCAAGTTCAGGGGCTGTACTTGATCACTACTTATCTGCCACATGTTTGGACAATTGGTGCTGCTATAACTAGAAGGATGTCTCCAGTAAGGACAGAGAAAAACTTTGTCCTTTTGTGACAGTGTGTGAATTCTAACTGCTATACCACATTAATACATTTATACTATCTGTTTTACCATTTTGTCTTATGTCCAACTCAAATATGACTACTGTAATTTTGGGCAGGCTCAGGTCTGTAATCTCAATACTTGGGTAGCAGGAGCAGGAACACTGCCATAATTTGAGGTCAGCCTGGGAGACCCTGCTTCAAACAATAATAAAAATGAATTTCCATTCACAAAGACTAGAGCAACAGACAGGACCATTTATCAGAAATAATACAAAAAAGCAACCACATCCAAACTGAGTAGTACTTAATAAAACAATAACAAAACCACGATAATTTGACAGAGAAAAAACAACATATTATCAGTAATTTCTACTTTAAAAATCAAACCTCCGCTGCGTACAAATAGTTTCCCAGTCTACTGTCATCTGCGTTTTTATTGTGTTTGCAGATTTTTGAATTGCTGTAAGGTCAAACCCACCAATCATCATGTATCCTTCTGCTGCTTTCATACACTTAGAAAACCTACTAGTAATTTACATATTCTTCAGGTCTCCATTTAAAGACATTTAAACTTCTTTTTGTAACACAGTGAATTAAAATTGAAATTTTCAATGTAAATCACTTTCAAAAGACCACAAGCAGTTAAATAGCTATATCCTGTCTCATTCTTCTAATATAAAAAGTCAAAATGGAAAAAAGAAAACACAAATTTTCTATGAAATTTTTGAAGAGTTCTTACCTCGACCTAAAACACAAATCGCCATCAAATTGGATGAATAGTAAGTAGAATGAAATTTCAGTAGTTCATCTCTTACATCAATGCCTTCTTGGTTGGGTCGAGTCTCTAGAGTATATTTGTTACCTGAAATGAAGAAATGGCATTTCTTAGAAAAAGCAAAATTTGTGAACTTTAGTTTTATTATTACTGACAGTGCTATAAGAAACAAACATACATGGTGGTGCACACCTTTAGTACCAGCACTTGGGAGGCTGAGGCAGGAGGATCTTTGTGAGTTCAAGGCCAGCCTGGTCTACATAGTGAGTTCCAAGCCAGCTGGCACTATAGGGAGATCCTGTCTTGAAAAGACAAAAAAAAGAAAGAGAGAGAGAGAGAGAAAGAAATTAACATGCATAATAGTCAACTATGTTTGAACATAAGGCAAATAAACAGGACAGTATAGTATAAATATATATACATAAACACATTTGAGACAGTCTTCTTGTAGCCTCAGCAGCCTGGAACTGCCTGTGTAGACAAGGCTGGCTTCAATTTCACAGAGATCCGCCTGTCTCTGCCTCCTAAGTGCTTGGATTAAAGATATGTACCATCATCACGAGCATGGTGGCATGTACCTTTAATCCTAGTACACCTGGCTTAAATTAGTAATATTTTAGAGTTCTCCATAAGGAACTACAAATGCTATATGAAACATAGTGCTTCTTAGGTTAGGCATGGTAGGACATACTTACAATCCCAACAATTGAGAAGCTGAGGCAGAACGATTACAGTTCCAGGCCAGCTTCAGTTACATAGTAAATCTGAGGTCAGCCTGGGTTAAACAGTGAGACCCTATCTTAAACAACAATTAAATTCCTAAAATCCATATGAGAGGCATTATGATCATTTTTAGATTAAATCAGATCCACCTGGCTTTTACTCATACTTGCTTTAATTTTTAATTTCCTATGTACTCTATAATTAATTGGATAGTCACCAAGAGATCTTTTTAAAACTTGCCAAGTTACTTGTGGAAAAATAAGAACAAATTTACTATTTTGAGCTGAAGCATTAAATTTGTTATGTGTATTCTCATAGGTTTGATTTAAATTGGTTAAAAATAGGAGCAATGCTATTTCTAGAGCTCTCAAGTGATGTATATGGTATATCACTATGAGTTCTATTATGATATTTTAGTGGTTAACTCAATTCGGGTAAAATTACATGCAAAAAAAAGTAGTAGTCTGGGCATGGTGGCACACTCCTTTAATCCCAGCACTCCAGAGGCAGAGGTAGGCGATCTTTCTGAGATCTAGGCCAGCCTGGTCTACATAGTGAGTTCTAGGACAGTTGGGGTTATAAGGAGATCCTGTCTCAAAAAGACCAAAAAAAAAAAACCAAAAAACAAAAACAACCCCCCCCCCAAAACCAAGTAGTGATATTCTCTTAAGTGCTACCTCTCCAACAAAGAATTTGCATAGGGAAATTAGGGGCTGCTAGTATAAAGTGAATTGTAGGAAGGAGTCCTGGCTTCTGAGTATGTCACATAAGAAAATGCACATACTTCATGGGGAAAAAATAGACACTGTAGAGAAGAAAGCCAAATAAATGGTACTAATGACCTTTCCCACCTGAAAATCCACATGTGAAGAACAGTGTGAATACAGCTGGGATAACAAATACCAGTCAGTGTCTAGACACACATTGTCCTAAAGCAGCGCTAATTTAGCTGGGCCACTGATACTAAATTAAAATGCCGCTACCCAAATCTTGAATCCTACCTTTTTGGCTGTCAATAATTAAAGCAAATTCTAGTAGTGGGCTGAGGACATCTGGGCTGCTGACCCTTCTACCCTAGGTTTGCTGAAAGCCCTGCCTTGACATTTGGGAGATTCAAAGATTCCTGGCCTGATTCCATTAGGTGTTAATTAAGTACCTTTGGAAAGACCTCCAAATATTTCAGAGAAATCAAGTACTTATTTTATCTGTAGAACAGGGTTACAAATTGCAAAACCCAATCAATGTTACTATATATTTTTATTGTAACTACCATTTTAAGTTTTACTTACCACAAAAATAAGCCTACAAACAGCACTAGAAATGGTAATGCTAATTTAAAAATACTTTTATTTATCTTTATTTTATGTGTATGTGCGTATTGCCTGCATGTGTGTAAATGCACCCATGTCATACAATGCAGGAGGAGGTTAGAAGAGGGCGTTAGATTTCATGGAACTGGAGTTATGGATGAGTGCTTGCTACCATGTGGATACTGGGAATGCAAAGGCCAAATTCACAGCTATCATCATGTCAATCCGTCAGAAAGTTATGCTAATATTCACTATAGTTAGTTGTAACATTATAAACTTTATTTTCAAAGCTCTTTCTTTTTGTATTCTAAAAAGTCCTGGAAGACATTTTATTGTTTTACTTAATATGTATGAGTGTTTTGTCTGCATGCATATAGGTACACCCATGTCATGTAATGCCCACAGAGGCCAGAAAAGGCAATCAGATCCCATGGAACTAGAGTAACAGTTGTTAGCTACCATGTAGGTGCTGGGAACTGAATCTGGGTCCTCTACAAGAGCAGCAAGTGCTCTTAAGCACCAAGACATTTCTCCACCCCTGAAACTTAGAGTTTTCCATAGTTACACATGCCCCAAAAGAAAAGAGAAGGTGAAAAGTGTAACTCAATGGTACTGTGCTTGTTGAGCATGCATGAGGCTCTGGGTTCCATCCCTAGCATCCTAAAAACAAACAAATAATAAATAAGAATTTAAAGGAAAAAGGCTCTTAAGCACTCTAGTTAAAACTTATTTGTATTTATTTAATTTTTTTTTTTTCGGTCTTTTTGAGACAGGGTCTCCCTGTAGCCCCAGCTGTCCTGGAACTCACTATGTAGACCAGGCTGGCCTTGAACTCAGAGATCCGCCTGCCTCTGCCTCCTGAGTGCTGGGATTAAAGGCGTGTGCCACCACACCTGGCTTTATTTAATAATTTATTTATTTTGGTCTTTTTGAGAAAGGGTCTCCCTATAGCCCCAGCTGGTCTGGAACTCACTATGTAGACTAGGCTGGTCCTGAACTCACAGAGATCGGCCTACCTCTGCCTCCCAATTGCAGGGATTGAAGGTGTGTGCCACCACACCTGGCCTGATTTATTGATTTTTATTTTATGTGTATGAGTGTAATGCCTGCATGTGTTTAGTGCACTCATGTTGTGCAATGCTCACAGAGGACAGGAGGACAGAAGAGGGTGCTGGATCCCCTGGATCTGGAGGACAGTTGTTAGCCACCTTGTGGGTACTGGGATTTGAACCTGGGTCTTCTGCAAGACAAGCCAATGTGCTTAACCCCTGAGCCATCTCTCCAGCTCCAGTTAAAAGTTTTTATATCCACAAATTTATTCTGATGCTCAAAAAAGTGGTTAGTTAGGATGCCAGAGAACAACTCATTATTTTGAAATTGGTAAATGAATAGAATAAATCAAGCCATTTGTCCTGCCTTTTGTACAGTATTTGTACCACTAGTTCACCAAATAGTAGAAAAGATTTTCTATCCACTGTAGCTTTAAAGCTAATAAACAGAATGAGAATAATAAAACTAAGAGAATTAGAATGGGGGGGGTGCTGCATAGAGGATGTTTATGAATTTCATAGAGACAATTAGACACTGCATGGTTAACGAATGAATAGCATTATCTATTATCAAGTTGTCTTGCCAAACAAGAATTTCAAGAGTAGGAAGCTGGTTCTAGCCCAGAGGGGGTTCTCCCTACCTCTGTGGGTAGCCTCTCTCCACCAGGTAGGAGCTGACTCAGCTGTTGCCACTACTTGGGCTGTAGATCCTTGCTAGATTATTACTGAATATTTCTATTAAACTTGTAAAGAATCCGGATTAAAGTGCTGAGTAACCAGTGAAGGAAAGATCTACTCCTATGGTTTACCCGTATTCCACCCACCACATCAGAGCAACATTGTTTGTGATAGGGTCCCTTATAATCTAGACTGATAGCAAAGCTGAGAGTGACCTTGAACTCCTGACCCTCCAGCCTCGGCCTCCCAAGTGCTGAGATTACGGGGTGCCCATCACAAACTACTAGAGGTTTCTTTTTATATAAATGATTCTCAGAATAATGTGTCCTTGCTGCAGGCCTGTATTTATAGATTTTATTCCAAGCGGCTTTTGGAAAATGGTTTTGACCCAAATATCTGTGACAACAGGGTCAAGACAGGCCTTCTGCACACATCTGCCAGCTAGAGCATAAATTTGGCGCTGACCTGCTGGCCATAGACTATTAAGAAAAGACAGCTCTTTGCTTCTGTGAATACCATGAAATTCTTAGTTTTCAATGAACTCAAAATTAATATTTGCAATCATCAAGGGGTTACTCTTTAGTTCTGGCAAAAACAAGGGAGTGAATAAAGATGCATTCAACCGCTGAAATATTTGGATGAACAGGAGCAAGGACTTAACAGGAATCCTCTCACAAGAAACCCTGAAGATTGCCGTGGGTGAAAATGCGTGGAAAGCCATTCTCCTCCATCCCAACTAACAGCAAGATGAAGGAGTTCCTTGCAGCTTTGGAACTACACAGCAGGAGTTTGCAGAGGATCTGGGCTCCTGGGAAGTCTTGCTTTTGCCTTCTGCCATTGTTTGGCTGCTTCTGGGCATTGCCTACTCTGCAAGTGAACCCAGCCTCAACTGGTGTGTTAAAGAAGCTCAGGAGAAGATTTATCAGGCAAATGCCTGTTCCTGGCTCCTCATAATTTTTCTGTGTGACACAGTGAAGGCTAAACAATTTTCCTTTTGCACTTTTATTTACTTTGACCCTTTTAGAAGAATGATGTGCTCATTTCAGCTTCCTACTACAGTCAAGTATACTGCATTCTAAGTTACCTCTGACTCAACCTGATTTCTAAAGAAATTACCCACTGCCTTGGCTTTGTTTTGTTGTTTCAGACAAGGTCTCACTCTGTAGTCCTGGCTGGTCTTGAATCCCCTGCCGCCCCCCGCCCCCCCAGCCTTGTTTTATCAAAGCACAGTAAGGACTACAGGGGAAGCTGGTGGTAGAGGTTCAGAAGCCTGGCCAGTAGAAACCTCACCCTAATGTAGGGCCAAGGATACATCTAAAAGGCAAAT